ATTCTATTCTATTCTATTCTATTCTATTCTATTCTATTCTATTCTATTCTATTCTATTCTATTCCTTTTCTATCCTATCCTTCATTCTATTCTGTGTTCTGTTCTGCTCTATTTGACTATTCTATTCTTTTAAGACTATTGTATTCTATTCTATTTTCTGTTCTGTTGAATTGTATTGTATTCTCTATTTTGTTCTGTTCTGTTCTATTCTATTCTATTTTTCATTCCTTTATTCTATTCTACTCCAATTATTCCCATTCTATTCTTTCTATTCTATTCTGATTTCTATTCTATTCTATTTTTTCTATTCTATTCTGTTTTTTATTTTATTCTATTTCTATTCCATTCTATTTCTACTCTGTTCTGTCCTAATCTTTATCATTTATCTTTCAATCTCCACCTCTCTATTCCCACAAAAGGCCACATCACACTGGCAGCTCCTCTGCTTCAATCACAGTGATCGGGCAAAGAATTGCGGGCTTCTCATTGGTCCACGGGCCCGAGGGTGGGATCTCAAAGCAACGTCCCTCTTAACAGGGCGCATGCCTACGTCACCGCCGCGCCCCCCCATTCCTGCACCCACAAAGACGACTCGAAACCCTTTGACGTGTCAAAGGAAGGAAGAGATGAGAGGTAACTAAGGGGCGAATCCTTCTGCGCAGGCGCCCACCGCCTCTGATGGGCCGAGCTGCGATTGGTTGGTCGGGAAGAAAGGGAGGAGGCGAGGGTGAAAGGTGGAAAAGCGGGTGGAGCAACCCGGCGCGGGCCCGAAGACCCGAAGACCCACTTCTCCCCCCCCCCTCACGCGACGCGGTGACGTCGAGGGCCGAGCGCGCATGCGCTCTAGCGCCGCGCGGCTCCTTTGCGGCTCCAGCTGTGGCGGCGGCGCGTCGGTCTCCTCAGCCGTGGCTGGGTGGGGGAGGGGCCCGGGCTGAAGGGGCAGCGGCGTGGCGGCAGGTGAGTGTCCCGCCCCCGGCCACGCCCCTTTGCGCTCGGCGGCTGAGGGGGAGGGTCGGGGGTCGCTTTGGAGACGTCGGTTGTGTCCCCCCGCCCCCCCCACAAACACACACACGCCCGGCCTACCTCGCCGTGTTGTTGTGGGAAATGACGTCACAAGGCCGCGGTGCGCGGGGGGGGGGCTGTCCTCGCGGCGCCTGTTCTCAAAGAGCGAAGGGAAAAGGGGGGGGAGGGGGTCGCCCCTAAGCTCCTCACCCCCCCCGCCTCACCCCCCCCCCCAATACCTGACGAAGTAGGGCAGGATAAATCATCGGGACGAATAAAAAGATGGATGCGGGGATTCGGTCTGATTAACGACCCAAATCGCCGAGCCGTTGAGCAGGGATGTCTGTCCATCCATCCTGGGTCGGCTTGGAGACTTGTGGACTTCAACTCCCAGAATTCCCCAGCCAGCTTTGGAGGTGCATGTCCAACCTGGGCAGCTCTAACAGATCTAACGGAGTGGGAAGGGTCCTGGTAGGTCATCTAGTCCAACCCCCCGCCTAAGCAAGAGACCAGGTACCAGTCCAGTCTCTTCTTGAAAGCCTCCAGGGATGGATGATGCTCCCACAACTTCCCAAGGCAACTTCTGTTCCGTTGGTGGATTGTTCTCCCTCTCAGAAAATTCCTCCTTATTTCCAGGTTGAATCTCTCTCCTTGGTCAGTTTCCATCTGTTACTCCTTGTCTGGCCTTTGGACGCCTTGGAAAATAGCTTGACCCCCTTCCTCCTCTCTGGGGCAGCCCCTCAAATCTTAGAACCCTGCTATCCTGTCTCCCCTGGTCCTTTTCTTCATTAAAGTCAGATTAACAGAGTTGGAAGGGACCCTATAGGTCATCTAGTCCAACCCCTCCACCCAAGCAGGAGACCCTACACCATTTCTGTCAGCCTCTTCTTGAAGCTCCCACAAACCTCCAAAGGCAACTTCTGTTCTGGTACTTGATTGCTCTCCCTGTCAGGAAATTCCTCCTTATTTCCAGGTTGAATCTCTCCTTGTTCACTTTCCATCCGTTATTCCTCGTCTGGCCTTCGGGTGCTTTGGAAAGTAGCTGGAACCCCTCCTCTTATCTCTTTTTATACCTTTTTTTTTTGCTTTCTTTCTGCCCTATTCTCTGATTTTGGGAATATCTGGCCGATAACAACCCTTGGGGGATTCACAACCTTGCATGTTCATTTGGAGTATTTTAATCGGCTCCAATAATAATTAAATTAGCAATTTATGGGACTTTTCCCCTAAAGGTCAGACATGAATACAGAGGCTTTTTGTTAGCAATGCTTTTACTATGGTAAAAATCTAATTGGAATAATTTTAATTAAGCACAAATGGTATCTTATCAGTAGGGGTAATAATCACCTTGCTAATCAGGTGCATGGAGTGTGACATACATACCGTAGTTCACCATTCTCTCTCTGGCATTCTTCAAATATTTGTAGATTACAACATCTGTGTCATCTCCAGCAAGCGTGGCCATTGGCCATTGCTTATGGCTAGGAATGAAAGGAATTGTAGCTCAAATGCAGGTGCAAGAAGATAAATATAAATCGATATGGATCTATGGACTTGATGCTGCAGAGAAGTAATGTACCATATTGTCTGGATGTGAATTATAGACATTTCATAATTATGACAACAGTCCTGAGTGACAGGAACAGAGACGCTGTTGACCTGGTGCCATATAGTGTTGAGGCTCGATAAAATAAAGCAGCATATATTTGTTTATGGATTTACAATTAAGTTTATACAGAGGGGAGTTTATATCGTTTTAAGATCCCTCACCATTTTTCTAAAGGATAGGATAGGATAGAATAGAATAGAATAGAATAGAATAGAATAGAATAGAATAGAAT